CTCCTTCTCCTTCTCCTTCTCCTTCTCCTTCTCCTTCTCCTTCTCCTTCTTCTTCTTTTTAAATGAATTATGTTTTCTGCTGTGAAAGTTAATTTTAGTTAACCTGAAAGATGACCTGGCTTCCAGCCTAATTTGCCTGTGGTAAAGATTTTCTGCTCTACAAGTTTGGAAAACTTCACTAGTGATGGAAGATAAGAATGTTAGTTTAGCGACTGCCTTAAAAGACATCGTTTTGAAGTATCCCACAATTGGGGCATAAAATATTTTTGTTGCTTTGAAGAAGGTTGGAGAGAGGTAAATCTTCCTTAGCAGAAGAACTGTGGAGAGGTAAAGTATGTCACTATTCATGCCTTGGGTGAGTTCAGATGTAGGGGTCACTTTCCTGCTTCTATTTTGGTTTATCTATAAATGAATTAAGTATGATCTAATAGTATTGTGCAGCCTTAAAAATGAAAACTGGCTTATGCGTTTCACAGATGTACGTACATGCTTTGAACTGCGTAGGTGCAGTGTTCTTTTTGTCTTATTGGTCATTCTCTCTCTTTTTTATTTATTTTTATTTTTATTTTTATTTTTTGGTAGAACCAGGGATTGAACTCAGACCCTTGGCACTTGCCAGGGAAGCGCTTATTCTACTGAGCCATCTCCCTGGCTCCTTCTTTTTTTTTTTTTACTGGTCATTTCATGTAGACTTGCATTTGCTAGTTTGTGCCACGTCCCGGCCCCTTCGTCTCCTGTGCTTCTTTCACAGGGGCCTCCCCTGCCCCACCAGCTGCCTGCTGCGCATAACCTGTGTGGCTCTGTGATGAAGGGGAAGGGAAGCGCAGGAGCCCTGGTTGTTTTCGTTTTCCTTTTTTTTTTTTTTTTTAATTCAGCATTACTTTAGGGAAATTCCTGATCAACTGGTAAAAAATCTAATTCAGAACTGGAGACACAACTGAGTGGTGGAGCACTTGCCTGCTACGTATGAGGCCCTTTTTCTACCCCCAGTACCAGCGAAAACAATGGCTTGTGTTAATGACTGTCTGCCTCAGCGTCCACCTCGGTTTTCTGCAGTCTCCCGTGTAGATGGGCAGCCACTGTCTTTTCCATTTTGTGTCCTGGTGAAGATGAATGTCTGTAGTTACAGGTTTTATTTCTGAGTCATAAATTCTTGGGCATGAGTTTCCTAGATAAGACTATAGAATATTGTTGAAAAACATAAAAGAAGAGATCTCATTTCCTTGAATGCAAAGTCCTGTATACCAAAACTATTCTCTCCAAATTCATATGTAAACCTAGTGCCTTTCTGATTAGAATCCAAACAAAGCTTGGAGAGAGGGGAAATTTTTAGTTGGATAATACTGTCGTAAAATATGTATAGAAGAATAAAGTTCACAAGAAACGTGGGGGGGACTTTAGTCATAGTGGGAAACGTTATCATGCGATATTAGGACATATTCTAAAGCTATTTATAATCCAAACAATACAATGTTTAAATACAGATAGATGAAATGTGACCATAAATGGTAACAGACCATTCAGAAATGTGGCCTAAAAGAAAATATATTTAAACTGAGGAAGAAAGGTGGATGGTTTAGTAAGTGGTACTGCATGTAACTGAATATCCATCAGGAAAAAAGGAAAACCTGCATCCTATAAAAAATACATTTCAAAAGGCTAAACAACTCACATTTTTTAAAGTGTACATTGATGGGAGGCTATAAGTAGGCTGATTACTATGAGCCCGATCTAATAGTGAAACCCTGAACCCCTGTAGACCCTTCCCTAAAATAAAAAAAAAAAAAAAAGTTTACATTGAAAATCCCTCAAGGAAACAGGAGACATTTAGGGAGACTGTAAGCCATTATGGCTGATAATGAGGAAGCCAAGCAGGGACACAGACATGACCGTGTGATGAAAGATTAACTTCTATGTGACCGTAAACAAAGTCAGGACATCTCTGTGAATTTCCCAGAAAAAACTGAAACCCATAAAAGGGTAGGAGGGTAGTGGTGGAATAAAAACCTTTAAATTTACTACTCAAAGAAACATTAAATAACTGAATTGTTACCTTTGTATGTCTTGCCCTGACACAAAGGCCAAAACCGTGCAGCCAGTAAAGACAGGTATTGTTACATTCTTTTTAAAAATCTGTATCATCTGGTATGTTACCCTCTGGCCCAGCACATGTATTTGGAGCCTAAAATAGACTTGTTCTGAAATGAAAGGGAATAGCTCACATTTTAAAGCATTTTGGGATGCCAGTTTTCATGGAGGGCCTTGCTTGTGTTCACCCCTAGCCCTTGCTTGGGGTTTGGCTAAGCAGAGCAGGGGTGAGCGACAGTTTCCAAAGGTGCTAAGGCACCAGTCCCCAGATATCAGGATCACTTGTATTTGTGGGGTTCTGTGTAGTGTTTTTAAAAAGACCTGCAGTAAAGACTGAAACTGATCCAGAAATACAGAATGACCACTATTGAAATATAACAGAGTGACCGGATTTTTTTTTAAAGACAGGAAAATCTTTTGGGCACCCAAAGTTTTGTTTTGTTTTGTTTTAAATCAGTTATAAGGAAAAGCAAATCAGGATCTATGATTGGACTTTTCAGCAGTAATGCTCTATGCAAAGAAAAAAAGATACTCAGGGGCCAGGGAGATAGCTCAGTAGAATAAGCACTTGCAAGATCCTGAGTTCAATCCCTCATACTGCCCCCCCCCAAAAAAAAAGAAAAGATACTCAAAGATTCAGAGAAAATGCCAGCCAAGGATTTTTATATCCAGCCAAACTGACTTACAGCTAGAAAGGCTACAAACATCTTAGCTTGGAAGAACATGGGGATTTTGGGGCCCTTCCGGACAAGCCTGATAGAAGAGGAGCTTCAGATTCTCCAGACCCCCTGAGTGCACTGACATAGAACTGGTGGTGATCGTTCAGTGTACATTTACAGTATCTGCAAACTCAAGTCTGAGGACCATCGGGAAGGAAGCGTTGCATGTGTCACGGGCCTGAGCCCTGACAGTGTGGATTCAGTGCAGCTGTATAAACACAAATGCCCGCACAGTGACAGTAGGAAGGAACAGAGAAATTCTGCCGCTTTCACTCACAGCAAATGAGAATATTGTTCTGAGGCGGGGGTGTGCAGGAGCGAGATGTGCAGTACAGCAAGTAAGGACAGGGATGGTGGCGCATGCCTGCAGTTCCAGCACATAGGGCTTGTGAGATACACCATGAGTGCAAGGGCCAGCCTAGAACACACAGGGAGAGGCTGTCTCAAAACAGAAGAATTTAAAGTGAGATAAGTAAATAATTATGTGATATTCTGTCACCTCTGTTATCCTAAAGAAGTAAGAGTCAGTAATACAGGTGGAAGAAGGTCAAAGTCCTACACTTCTGAAGTAGAGGCACCAGTGTGAACTCATATTTGATATTTGTAGATCTGTGTGTGTGCTCAGATCCGGACTTGCTCTGTTCACTGGAAGAGGTCTGGAAGTACCTGACACAGTGGAATGGTCGTCCCTGGCCCCCAGCTTGGGAGCTTTAGCTTGCCTTTCCCACAGTCAGACGCCAGGGTTATATCCAGTCCTGCCCCATTTCTTAATTGATGGCCGCTCATTTTTAGAGGACGGGCTGATTTTAGGTCCATTGGGGGAAATGGAAGAGATGGGTCTGGGACTTCTGGAAGCAAGGCGGCTGACAGCTCGGGTCAGTGTTCAAGGCCAACGGTGGCGGGCTTCTGGGCTCCCGTTGGCCAAGGCTGAGGCCATTCAAGCGTCAGTGTAGATAATGATTGGACTGTGTTGAATCACATCAGATTATGTTTAGCTGCAGGGGTTCTTTTTTTTTTTTTTTTT